TTGCAAGTCGCAATCGCCATGGCCATGGGATGTGAGTTCCACGACTGCCTATAGCACAGTATAATTCTGTTATCTGGAAAGACGGGGAGGTGCCAGCACAACAATGTTGGATGATGGCGTGCTGGAAATGATTACAAGTTCATGAACAGAAGGTCGTAGATAGACATGACCACGAACAGGACTGTTAACACGCGGTGTTGTGGTTTACAGCGTGGCTGTGATATGCTGGACCGTTCGGCCCAATGCATCTGAGTTGAGCTAAAAATTTTATTGTTAGGGGGCGCTGGGTCACACACCGTGACTCTACATATATGAAGGGCAGCGAGCAAGGTCAGTGGCCACCTTATCTCACGTACCGTGTCTACATATATGAAGGGCGGCAAGCAAGGTTAGTAGCCACCTTATCTCACACACCGTGACTGTACATATATGACGGGCGGCGAGCAAGGTCAGTGGCTACCTTATCTCACGTACCGTGACTACATATATGACGGGCGGCGAGCAAACCTTATCTCACGTACCGTGACTACATATATGACGGGCGGCGAGCAAGGTCAGTGGCCACCTTATCTCACCTACCGTGACTGTACATATATGAAGGGCGGCAAGCAAGGTTAGTGGCCACCTTATCTCACGTACCGTGACTACATATATGACGGGCGGCGAGCAAGGTCAGTGGCTACCTTATCTCACGTACCGTGACTACATATATGACGGGCGGCGAGCAAGGTCAGTGGCCACCTTATCTCACATACCGTGACTGTACATATATGAAGGGCGGCAAGCAAGGTGAGTGGCCACCTTATCTCACGTACCGTGAATACATATATGAAGGGCGGCGAGCAAGGTCAGTGGCCACCTTATCTCACGTACCGTGACTGTACATATATGACGGGCGGCAAGCAAGGTGAGTGGCCACCTCATCTCACGTACCGTGACTACATATATGAAGGGCGGCAAGCAAGGTTAGTGGCCACCTTATCTCACGTACCGTGACTACATATATGACGGGCGGCGAGCAAAGTCAGTGGCCACCTTATCTCACCTACCGTGACTGTACATATATGAAGGGCGGCAAGCAAGGTTAGTGGCCACCTTATCTCACGTACCGTGACTACATATATGAAGGGCGGCAAGCAAGGTTAGTGGCCACCTTATCTCACGTACCGTGACTGTACATATATGACGGGCGGCGAGCAAGGTCAGTGGCCACCTTATCTCACATACCGTGACTGTACATATATGAAGGCTCAACATATTATATAAATACTGTATCTAGTAGACCCCATTTTGGATGACTAAAAAATACACATACTGCCCACCCCAACCTATCCCCAAGCATGTCGTAAAATACGACACATCAGGGGTGCATCTTTCGAAGTCGTTGCATGAGACGCAAAGCAACAACAGTCTGCATACAAATACGTCAGGTCTGTGAAAGGGATATGTAACCAAAACTCAAGTTCTGGAACAATACCAAAGTCCAGAAATGGACGAACAACCAGAATTTGTCGCCGAAGTTTGCAGCCGGTAAACGAAAAGAAGAGGAAGAATAAATCTGTACAGGATACAAGATTCTAAGCTGCCAAAACTGGAGTTTCAACCATACCTGGGCGACAAGTACAAGGTCTAAGGTAGGGACCAGAACATGTAAGGAGATGTGAGGGTAAGCTTCAGCTTCACTATATAGGTTAGTTGCATATCCTTTACAGAACGTCGCAGAACTAACCCCAACAGCCCCTGGCTGTTGTGTGGCTTCTCTATGCAAATTTACGTCCAGTAGTTTGCCATTACTTTCTGGACAGTCGGCTTCTTGATTACACTGTCGAAACCAACGCAGGGCGCATGGTCCGCAGTTGGGATCGAACACGGCACCCCGGCATTACGAAGCGTTCGCATCGACTTAGCCACAGAGCCGACATGTAATGTTAAGCAGTATGATTTTCCTCACATTGTTAACGGAACAGCGATTCCTTTGTTTGTCCGTACTCTGCTTTGTGCCGCGAGGCCTGCCACGCTAACACATATTGTGGTAGCGTGGTCAAGCGGTCTCTGGCGCTGGTTTAAGGCACCAGTCTCTTCGGAGACATGGGTTCGAATCCCACCGCTGCCATATTTTTATTTTTAATTTCTTCTGGTCAAAATGGACGCCAGCGGTCACTGTTTGGCGTCGAGGACAATTTTTTTGCTTCTGCCAGACGGTGGCCGTTGCATTTTAAAAAATCAATTTGTAGACTGAAAGATATAGTTTCGTCGCGCCAGTTACTGAGTTTAGTGCATGGCGCGACCCTGTGAGCTGCGGACTTCATTTGGAATGTTTTTCGACTGCGACCAACGTGGTGTTGTGAACTGTAGATTCAGAAATGGCGCGTGGCCGTTCGCCGCAATATTGGTGATGCCCTTATGTGATTAATATTGATCGCTTGTGCAACTGCTGATCTGTTGGTAACTTGTGCTACCGTCGATGATGAACTGCATTTCTAATGTCAGACTGTTTGTGCTAGCACTTTCGATGGCTACCATTAATGCCTGTGTATACTAGTGCATGTGCTGAGACAGCAGTCTGTCAATCTTTCCACAAGGGACTGTGATAAACATTCTATGTGGTTTCGTTGGCACAGGAGCGGAGCAACTATGGGATGACTCGTTTGCTATGAAGCTGAAACTAAGATTACCAAGGCTAACATATAATTTGAATATGGTTTAAGAAACGACCGGTTGCTCCGTTGCCCGGTATGCTGTCATGTTGTAGAGCTTAAAGTTTTAACGACTCCTTCAGTATAATTCTTCTGGTCGTCCCCTACATCTGGATGTTTCTACTTTCATGTTGTACGTTCTAGTTGCTGGTATCACTGGATTCATCCTCATTAGATGGTCAAGCCTGTTCTTTGACTTCCACTGAATGTTATAGGTGTTGTTTCAACAGTTCTTGTAATTTTTTTTTCATTTCTTACATGATCTCTTCTGGTTTTGTTCAATCCTTTCGCAAATGTCTCATTTCGGTAATCGGTTTTTCTTTTGTATTCTTTAGTCAATGTCCAGGCCTGACAATGATAACATAAGGTTGTATGCGGATTGAATTTAGTTTGCTTTTTGTTTCTTTTTGGAATTGGGGAGTGTTTTAAAATGGGGTCACTTGATACATAACATTGCTGGTTTGTTGGATTCTTGTTTTAGCATCTGTTCTCCTATCATATGCAAAGATGCTCTACAGGTTTAGCGATTAGTCGTAGAAATATGAGTTAAGCACAATTACCCAGTGTGCACTCGATAAGCACTTGATCGTGGGGGATGAAACAATATTTCGAGTTTGTTGTTATTGTTGCTGATGTAGAATGGCGTATGCGGCCGTGCTGTTCTTCAACAGCATACATCTCTTTGTATTCTGGCACTCCTCTGTGCTTTCACAAAAAGACATACGAATCTTTTCTTGTTGTAATCCCCTTATCTTTCTTTCCATAAATCTTTCCTGTTTTCTCATGTTACAAGCTGACGGAGAGAGTACTGTTGTAGTGAGGTTGGATACAAACTTTAATTCACTGCCTAGCGTTGCTTTTTCCAACAGATTTACCCCATGGACAAAAAAACCCGGGCAAAAAATCCCGCAGAACACAGATTTAAACAGCCATAAAGCCTTTACGTCTTCCGATTAACGCAGAAGAAGAAATAGAAGAAAAGATTGACCAAGAAACGAAAGAAACTAAACATGTAAATACTTGTAAAAAATAAACTTAAAAAAAAAAAAAACACACAGAGAAACTGACGAGGAAAAACAATACATAAACGGAAAAAAAGCGAACTTTTGTTGAACGTTTGTAATGAAGAATACGATTTGCATCACACATATTGGTAGGAGAGCAATACGACATTTTATACTCTCTCTCTCTCTCTCTCTCTCTCTCTCTCTGTCTATTAGTCTGTCTGTCTGTATGTTTCTTCAAGATAATAACTTGATCAAAGACACCATACACGAGTTCAATAAATTACCGACAATGTACACACAAGTTATTGTTTAGTATATTATTGCAACAAAAACACGAAAGTCAACGAAATAGCGAAGTGTCACTTGGCTAGTCAAAGGAATCCTAGCTTGTGAGAATAACGTGTATTTTACAATATTCATTTCCATTAATATATATTAGTTTCTGTGGCCATAGTAACATACAAATGATATTTTTTTTTAATTGAACCCCCTTCCCTCCCCCCAGACAGGCATCTAATTCGAGCTGTTGTCCTCTATTTTGCTACCGCATTTAGCTCGTCTAATGTTTAGTTTTCTTCTATCCTATAAATCAGGAGGCCGGTAGCCTTGATGACGGCTATCTATCGTGCGGTGCAGACCTTCCTGTATACCATACAACGTTTGCTTCACTGAGATTGGGAGCTAACAAATTATTGGCCAGGTCCACTCAGAGCGATACTGGAAATAGCTGTCAGAAAGCCAAAGTTAAAATACGCTATAGTGGTGTTTCTTACAGTCATGGTGATTGATAAATATTAGTTTCTGTGGAACCCAAGAGGTTGCTGAACTACTGAAATAATAGTAGCAGAAGGCATGTTGTCGGGAAAGAGGGACAGAGGCTTCCCAACACGAACATGGGAACAGGATATAAGTGAAACCTTTGATAGGACAGTGCACGAGGTGGGGAATCTAAGGAGAGCCCTCGTTTCTTCCAGGCAGGCTGCACTGACAGACATGTTCTGAAAAGGACCTGCTACATGATGATGATGATGATGATATCTTCAGGTTACAAAGAAAAACGCACGCAAGTTCAGTCTATGAATTCATCATAATAAATATTTAATGAAGACCAAATTGTCAAGTATGTACACGAATCAATCAATTGCATAGCCCAAAGCCTTAGTACTCACAATTTTATTTACTCACAGGGCTTTGCCATATACTTATATTTCCCAACTAAGAAACCAAGATAAGTACATGAAACAAACAAACAAAACGCCAGTTATTGTTTGTAGTTTCTAGTTGTAACGCCAAACAATCAGGATTTCTTCAGCCCAAACACGCGATCTAAGAAGGTTCTCGATCGTCGCTTGTAATCTACTATCTCCTTGCACAAGGTGTGGAAGGCGTCCGTTACCTTGGTAACGTCTTCAGAAGCGGAAACTTCCATGAATGTACAGCTGAGATCAACAGCCAACCTGGCTCCTGGAAAGCAAACATAAAAAAAAAAAAACTATATTACTATTGAGTGACATTAAGATCAATATCTCTCTCTCTCTCTCTCTCTCTCTCTCTCTCTCTCTCTCTATATATATATATATATATATATATATATATATATATATATATATATATATATATATATATATATAATGCATAGCAGACATTCTGCTTTATGGAACGGAAACATGGAGAACAAGTAAAACAATTTCTAATTCATTAACTGTTGCCTACACAGAATTGGGAATTAAAATAGTATACTAGAATCATCAATAATAAGCTTTGTGGGATAACTACACAACTTCGGGTGAACCAAGAGGTGGAGAAGAGATGCTGACATTGGATAGGAAACACTTTGAGAAAACTCTCAGGACAACAGAACTAGAAGGTATTTGCACATTTTGGCGACAGCCGAGTCCTTTGGAGCTCTTAATTTGCTTAAAAGGGTGCAAGCTGAAAGGACTCCTTCTAAATATATGTCTGCCTCCGTGCCTACTGTTGCCTCCGTGCCTACTGCTGCCTCTGTGCCTACTGCTGCCTCCGTGCCTACTATCGCCTTTGTGCCTACTGTTGCCTCCGTTCCTACTGCTGACTCAGTGCCTCCTGCCGCCTCCGTTTCTACCGTCGCCTCCGTTTCTACCGTTGCCTCCCTGCCTACTGTTGCCTCTGTGTCTACCGTTGCCTCCCTGCCTACTGTTGCCTCCGTGCCTACTGTTGCCTCCGTGTCTACCGTTGCCTTCGTGCCTACTGTTGCCTCCGTGCCTACTGTCGCCTCCGTGCCTACTATCGCCTCCGTGGCTACTGTCGCCTCTGTGCCTACTGTCGCCTCCGTGCCTACTGTCGCCTCCGTGCCTACTGTTGCCTCCGAGACTACTGTCGCCTCTGCTGAGTGCTCATTTAACAAACCGAAGCTGATAAATGTTTACAATTTTGAATCTATCATCTCACAAAGCCCATTTATAAATACAGCAAGAATTTGTATTAGGCCTGATTGTGCCAAGAAAGAGACCAGGAAAGCACCTTCGTTTAGCAGAATTTAAATGCCAATATACCCAACTCTAACAACCATTATGAGATTGTAATCCATCTGTTATTAAATTCCTTGCTTGTTTATATTGTTTCCTTAGTTTTAAGTACTAATGTGTAGTACCGTTTTTATTATCTTCTATAAAGGTGCTTGTCCTCTTTTGAATCTATTCACAAGTATATGTGAATGTAGCTACCACAAAAAATAAACAGTTATGACACTGTGTCCATGTCTAGAGAGAGAGAGAGAGAGAGAGAGAGAGAGAGAGAGAGAGAGAGAGAGAGAGAGAGAGAGAGAGAGAGAGAGAGAGAGAGGAGGGGTGGGGGTGTGGGGCAGGCCACAAGAATATAATGTATTTATTTGCTGCGGGACTTGCCATATCTTATTGGTGCTTTTTTGTGAGTGGTGCTCTCAGACGTCTGGCCAGTGACACAACTCTAAAGCCCTGACGCACTAACAGAAACCTGCTACTATATAGTGTCAAATACAAGTTATTGCTACAAATCAGGCAGACAGAGAGATTATGTTCAATGGCCATTCATTGGTCTCTACAATACTGCCTACGATTTGTGCTATGTAATGGAATCACCATGTGGTGTGTGTTTCACATGCCTCCGCATAACACTGTGGGCCACTATCATCTGCAAAGATGGGAAGGTGCAACCAGAAGAGCAAAGGCTGTTTATAAGTGAGGTTGTTTTTCCGGAAAACGAGGTAGAGGCCGACCTCCGCCAAGGTGGGTACAGGACATTGAAAATACATTGGCAATGAAAGCACATAGGGCTGGAGAATTGGCTAGGGAAGGATAGACTTTCAGGCGTGCTGTGAGAAGAGAGACATTCTGTAAAGGACAGACTGACTGATTGATTGACTGATTGATTGACTGATTGTTTGAGCCTCACCTTCGTCCTGAGTGACCTGTCTAAACTGGGCCAGGTCGGCCTTGTTGCCCACCAGGATCACGGGCACGTGAGAAGCTTTCTTCATGTCCTCCACTTTACGTCTCACGTCAGCCAGGACGTCAAACGTCTTCCTGGAGGTCACAGAGTACACCAGCACAAACCCGTCAGCCCACCGCACGACGTCATCGCGAGCTCCCATATCGTCATTCTGAGGACCAGAGTCAGTGAACAAAGGAACTACAGTGAGCAGGGACGAAATGCGATGACAGTGAACGTCATTCATAGCGCGTACAGACGATACATAGGGTGAACATGTCAGAGGAACACATATAATCATCATCACGTGGCGTGTACTTTGCAGGTCTTCGCTCTGATCACAGCCTGCCTGAAAATGTCTTGCTATCTTGTTTGTTTTGTGTAAAGCATAGATAGCAAACTGAAAGCTATGAGCACACCTGAACACAATCATCATCGTCGTAGTGATTTTCATCATCATCATTATCATCATCATATTAGATTGAAGTTGCCTGATCAGTGCTCTCCAGCTATGATATTGTTCCTTAGATTTCTTGTTTTGTCGTGAATTTTAACATCAATTAATGTTAAGTCTAAGGCTGTGTCTTATACTGTGACGAGAGCAAGCCACCTTTCGTGTTGTTTATGTTTAGTTTAGACGATAAATCAACATCAGGGCACAAGGGTAGTAACCTATAAGTGGTCCGTTCTACTTCTGACTCAAGCCTGTGTCCGAAGAATCTCAGCGCATGGCACGAACTCCGTAGCACCGGCGAGGATCTTGAAATACTTTAAGGTAGAATGTAACTCTAAATTTTGCCCGGGCTGCGTCGTTAGGCTACTCTTTTTTTTTAAATTTCCAAATGCCAAGAGAGTTTTTACTTGTGAAACAATACACACGGGCGTCAGATCTTACTACCCAGAGACAATGGGGAAATTACTATAAATCCACACGAAAAAATGCCAGCCTTCACCGTGGCTTAAACACGGACCTCCAGCACTCGAGGTGGATGCCATATTCGAGACCACGCAGATGTATTTTTAAACAGTTTCTTATCGTTAACAAAATAGGTCAGAATTAGTGTTTATTTGGCCCCCTTTTCTGCATCCTTAAGACAAAAAACAAACAAAAACCAACACACGACATTCTATGAGCTTGCTGATTTTCACACATCCTTATATATAGTCGTCCCCATGTGGGATGCAATCTTTTCTTATTTGAAGCTGCTCCTCACCCCGGTTTCTGCTGGGGGGCCCTGAATGTAGCCGGGCCATAAATATGGCCTAGCCATAGATATGGCCTAACGACTGAAAGGGGTTTCTGGGACCTCTACACGGGTGATCCTCATCCGCATGGTGGTACTTTGTGTCACCGGGTGTTTATCGCTTGTGTGATGTCCTTGTGGGTTACACCTACCTACATACCTACCCAATCCTTATATTGGAATTAGCTTCAGAACCATTTAGCACTACAAGTCAGATAAGTGTAAATATTGTTCCAGTCAACGGATCATATTTGTTGTTACTGTATCTTGTTAAAAAGTTTGTTTGTACTGCATGTCGGAAAGTTTATTTACGCAGTAAAACGAGGATATAGCAGTCACCAAAGACAATGTACGACATTTAGAAAACAAGAAAAACGGTTTTCGGCACTGATTAGTAAATAATCCTGATGCTATACCACAACATCCATTAGCAGTTGGCGCCAATGAGGTCGCATCTGCAGTTCATAAGTGAAGAAATAGTAGCTGTATTTCTGCTGTCAGTCTTTGAACCATGCAGGACTTCCTGGCATGGAAATCGATGCCAAAAAACCCCACAGAAGAGAAGTCGATACTAACACAAAGAGCTCACCTGTGATCTGGTATCGAGAAGCTCAAATGTAACCGACTCGCCTTCCAACACTGTAGAACATTTGTACTTGTTCTCTGTGCGGAAGAAATTGGAGGCAAATCAGTCACTATTGTGGACTACTTTCAGCCATGTTCTATACTGTAACCACACAATTGTTTCATAGCTTCTAGTGTTCACAGGCATGAAGGAGATGTTGCGACTTCACCGTACAGATAAGTTATTTCAAGTATTCTTATTTGCAGGGTTCCCCTCTCCTTTAAGCTTATATAATAGATTCTTTGTTGTAAGTACCAAGCTTTTTTTTATATACTTTGTGGCCAGTACAAACACGCTTTTAAAAAAAAAAAATAGAAAAATGTCCTGCTTATATGTAATTGTATCATTGCCCGTTTGTGTAGTATGCTGCTGCAGGCTTTCTAGCCCCAACGCTCATTGTGTAATTTCATGATTGTGGTATTGTGAAGCTAAACTAGTTCTATTTTTCGTCTAGGCTGCAGTCTTTTCATGTTACAAATACAGACATAGGGCACTTTAAAACTGTGAACCAGCACTTAGATCAGGCTTTCTCCCCGTGTGGGTTCCGGGTCTCCGCTGATTGAGGGTGGGGGTGGGGTGGGGGGGGGGGGGGGGGGTCGGGGGAAAGTTGAAATCTGAGTGAATTCGTCCGAGAATAGAGAAACCGAAAGTCTGCATAATCAAAGTCAGATTAGTAAAACGAATATGCACGTAGAAGTCAAGTGCTGGGACAAGACAAAAGTGCAGAAGTGTGACAACAAGCAAAATTTGCTGCTGCCGTTTATTACAACCAGTGAATGTAAAGAAGAAGAAGAAGAAGAAGAAGAAGCAGAAGCAGAAGCAGAAGCAGAAGGAGAAGGAGAAGGAGGAGGAGGAGGAGGAGGAGAAGGAGAAGGAGAAGGAGGAGAAGAAGAAGAAGAAGAAGAAGAAGAAGAAGAAGAAGAAGAAGAAGAAGAAGAAGAAGGAAGAAGGAGAAGGAGAAGAAGAAGAGAAGAAGAAGAAGAAGAAGAAGAAGAAGAAAGAAGAAGAAGAAGAAGAAGAAGAAGAGGAGGAGAACGAGGAGGAGGAGGAGGAGGAGGAGGCGGAGAAGAAGAAGAAAAAGAAGAAGAAGAAGAAAGAAGAAGAAGAAGAAGAGAGAAGAAGAAGAAGAAGAAGAAGAAGAAGAAGAAGAAGAAGAAGAGAAGAAGAAGAAGAAGAAGAGAAGAAGAAGAAGAAGAAGAAGAAGAAAGAAGAAGAAGAAGAAGAAGAAGAAAAGAAAGAAGAAGAAGAAGAAGAAGAAGAAGAAGAAAAAGAAGAAGAAGAAGAAGAAGAAGAAGAAGAAGAAGAAGAAGAAGAAGAAGAAGAAGAAGAAGAAGAAGAAGAAGAAGATTTTGTATTGTACTGCCTTATCTCCTGTCAATGATTTGACCCAGCAGCATAATACCACAACCAGTTTAAACTAACCCCTTTCAGGACATGCTCCTCATTAACTGGATTTTACAGCTAATTTCATTAACCCCAATGCTTCTATGTCACCTCTCACGACATGCATGTTGGGTACAGTGTTACTATTGTTTGCATTCGTCACGGGACCAGCAACAGACCACGGTCTGCTACTCTACTCGATGTACGCTGGTAATGGGGGGGGGGGGGGGGGGGGGGGGGGGGGGGGGGGGGGGTAGACGAGTGTAACTTACACATGAATGAATAACTTTAAATACATTGCCTGTTAAAAATTCACATATATTGATCATCATTCATTGAAGTAGAGGACAGAAATAGGGTTAACACAACATTTCAGACATTAAAAACACGGGGATATGAAACACGGCCGGCTACCAGATGACGTTACATCAACTCTGGTGGAACAAGTGGGTATCGATGCATTACCAACTTAACATTCACCGTGTCGGTCTATATTTGTTCCCTCTATGCGTTGTTGTCTTGTTATATGGATGTGTCGGGTTCTAATCTGGTGGCATGTTATGCCACCATAGTCGATGTCACTGCACACTGGGCATTCCTATGTGTGCTCAGTCTCCTGATTTCAGCAGCCACTTCAATGTACCTCTACTGTTTGCTTCCTGAGAAGCTGGTTCTAATGTCTCCAATCTTGGTTTCTAAGGCGACATTGACGTGTTTCTTCTTGCTTTACTCCTATGTCCGGCAACTGCATTAGCGTCAGCGATTCATCATTATCGCCCAAACGTGCGTACAGCGTCGATGATATCAGCTATGTCCATACTTCTTCCTGTTTGCATTGGCGCATCACTTGCCAGATGGTCAGCCTTTTCATTACATGTTACTCCTGCATGCCAGTTATGTAGATCCAGATGATGGAGGATAAGTACGACTCTAGAATGCGTTTAGAGCAAAGCTATCAGCTTCGATCCACGCGACTGCTCTTGTAGCAGCTATGACATCCATCTGGCGGTGATCGTCAGGTGTGTCCTGCAACATTTACTGGGGTTTTCCTCATTTCATAAGTTCTATTATTGAGCGTATTTTACTTCATCTGATTTCGACATCAGACCAAAAACATTTGTTAACGACCAGCTGGTAACTCAAGAGGCGGTAACTCGAAAGTTGGCAGCTTCTCAATAACGTACATACACGAGATTGTAACTCTGACATATGGTAATTTTAGTATATGCGGCAACCCCAGCAGATGATAACTTCAACAGATGGGTGACTCCAACAGATAGTGACTCTAACAGATGATAACTCTAACAGATGGTAACTTTAACAATGGTAACTACAAGAGATGTAACACCAACAGATGGTAACTACAAGAGATGTAACACCAACTGATGGTAACTCCAACAGATGATAACTTTAACAGATTGTAACTACAAGAGATGTAACACCAACAGATGGTAACTCCAACAGATGGTAACTTTAACAGATTGTAACTACAAGAGATGTAACACCAACAGATGGCAACTCCAACAGATGGCAACTCCAACAGATGGCAACTCCAACAGATGGTAACTACAACAGACTGTGACTCCAACAGATGATCTCCAACAGATGATAACTCCAATAGTCTGTGACTCCAACAGATGGTAGCTACAACAGATGGTAGATACAACAGATGGTAACTACAACGGGTAGTAACTACAACGGGTAGTAACTACAACAGATGATAATTCCAGCACACACTGGCGCCGCCATGACGTTAACATGGCGGGAGGGGGGGGGGGTGTACTCTGCTCCATAAAACTATTGGGTAGGAGGGAGGAAGTGGTGGCTTCATTCAGGTGTTTTGAGCTCCCAGGTTCTGGCACCTTTGTCAACAAACGAAAACTGTAACTTCTGGGAACTCAAGCATATTGTAACTCCAACAGATGGTAGATTCAAGCAATAGTAACATTGTAACTCCAACAGATGGTATTTTTAAGCAATAGTAATATTGTAACTCCAACAAATGGTATATTCAAGCAATAATAACATGGTAACTCCAACAGATGGTAAATTGAAGTAATAATAACATTTTAACTCCAAAGGATGGTAGATTCAAGCAATAGTAACATTGTAACTCCAACAAATGGTAGATTCAAGAAATAGTAACATTGTAACTCCAAATGATGGTAGATTCAATCAATAGTAACATGGTAACTCTAACAGATAGTAGATTCAAGGAATAGTAACATTGTAACTCCAACAGTATGAAGATTCAAGGAACAGTAACACGGTAACACCAACAGATGGTTACATGTTGGAAGTATGGTCAGTGAGTATTAGTATTATGTTATATATTTTCAACACCAACGTAATATTGTGCGGATTTTCCAACACAATCCTTTCTGTGAAGGGTTGAAAGAGGACAAATTAAAGAAATTAAAATACGAAGAAGCAACAGAAGAAGAAAAATATGGAGGGGAAGTAAGAAGAGGAGGATGTATATCGTTATATCGTGTATATAGCCTCACCACTTGCTTGATCATATTCTCCAATGAATCTCTTGGTTAGAAACCGCACACACAAAGCTGCAACAGAGAGAAAAAAATAAACAATAAACCAGATCACTCATCGATAATTTGTATCTCACATAGAAAGCCGCAACAGAATCGGTCGTACATGCAGCGACCATCTTTTGGCTAAGTGAGGAGGCCTCTATGGGCTTAATCCTAGTTTAAGAGCATATTAATAATTATTATCATTAGGATTCTGTGCTGGAAATCAGACAAATATAATTATATGTTTGACATAATATGAAATTTATAAACAAATACTTTCAAAAAGAATTTAAAAAAATTATAAGGGAGCCTTTTAGTAATCACGCAAAATGTTTTGGGGCTCCCCACATTTTTTAATTGGGGAGGGGTAGGGGGGGGGGGGGTGGACATAAGTCACCCGCTTTCTGTGCTGTACACACATGGGTGACGCATTCAACAAAGGGACTGGGGATGGACATAAGTCACCCGCTTTCTGTGCTATACACACATGGGTGACGCATAAAAACGAAGGGGCGGGGATGGACATAAGTCAACCGTTTTCTGTGCTATACACACATGGGTGACGAATACAACAACGGGAGTGGGGATGGATATAAGTCAACATGTTTCTGTGCTATACACACATGGGTGACGAATACAACAACGGGAGTGGGGATGGATATAAGTCAACCGCTTTCTGTGCTATACACACATGGGTGACGCATACAACAACAGGAGTGGGGATGGATATAAGTCAACCGTTTTCTGTGCTATACACACATGGGTGACGCATTCAACAAAGGGACTGGGGATGGACATAAGTCACCCGCTTTCTGTGCTATACACACATGGGTGACGCATAAAAACGAAGGGGCGGGGATGGACATAAGTCAACCGTTTTCTGTGCTATACACACATGGGTGACGCATACAACAACGGGAGTGGGGATGGATATAAGTCAACCGCTTTCTGTACATGGGTGACGCATATAACAAAGGGTGTGGAGAAAGCGGGCAAAGAAATCTACACAGTAATCCAGCAGAACTGACACGAATTGATGACCAATGATGGCCATTCTTAGCGGTGTGTTTGACCGGAACGATTTATATTCGCTTGTTGTTTGTTTGTTTTAGTATCCAGAAGCCATGAGTTGTTAACCCTTAGGCTCGGTATTATGGATATCGCAACCTTTCGGCCTTGATTCCATTGTAAATACCCTAAATCTGGGAGAAATGTGGCTTTTCTGCATACTCCCGGGAGTGAACCCGGACCACAAGGAGTTCGTCACCCGGCCACCGCGCAATCCGGTTTAGCCAACTACGCTAGAGAGCCGGGCTCAGATTCGCTTAAAAGAGACAGGACATGAATGGGTTTCCTTCGAATGCTGTAATGTGGATTCGTAAAAACATGTACACACAATGCAACATTATTTTTAGTGTCTTGTCGTTGGAAAATGAATACAGCAAGTAAGGTTTACCTGACGCTAGACAAGAGAACCAAACTCGTCTGGGAGTGCAAAAAACAGCAACAACAAAAACCGTGATGAGGATGATAATGTCAATGAGGAAGATGATTTCATGCAGATAATGATGCACAAAGGCGAGACGAATGAAGATTATCATGTGAGAATATGTCTTTGAATGACGTCATATTGCTGTTCTGTAAACATGCCGATGTGTTTAACCCTCTCGACCCAACCCCGTGTTATCATCCGTTGCCTGAGCACTTTGAACGTCAGATTGTCCACTGAGCCCATATTTTTTTGTTAAATCTGGTCTCAGCATAACACGGAAACCCGGATTCATTAAGTAGCGAGGTGTTATCAATTCGCATGTGTAAGCGTTAGCAGGTAATGACTACACTAGAGAAGGTATCAGATGATATTTTTTTCCTCGTCGCTTCCCTGTTGAGAGTCAGCGTTCACGGGTAGCATCAAATTACTAAAAACTGGTAGGTTTCCCAAGTTAGTTAGTTACTGCATCAGTGCCGTATGCAAACAGGATCATGAAATTGTTACCCACACTCGCTAACCTCTATTCCACGGAACGATTCACACAAACACCCGGACTGGAATCCAGGGCAATTGAGCCACAAGGCGAGCTTCTAGTCACTCAGTCACCGCGGCTGCCTCTCCTTCAGGCAATCAACTAATCAGCAGGTAATTTACAGAACGTCGCTCTCTTCACGGCACACCCAAACGTTTTTCTTTCTCTAGCTAATTCTCTAGCACTGTGTCTCTTGATAGCTATTGGAACTCCAACGTCCTGTATCCGCCTTCACAGAGGTCGGCTTCTGCCTCGTCTTCCGGAAACTGCAGCTTCCATCACCATTCTCTCCAGACCACCATAGCCCTTGAGATGTCCAAAACACTTCCGGGAGAGGATGCTGTTGACGAGCCAGCTCTCTTGATGTTCAGGTCACGCAGAATGTTGACGTTTCTCTTCTTCTTGGCCCATGGTAGTCTTAAGAATGTTTCTGCGTCATTTCAGTTCAAAAGCTTTGATTTTCTACTTGAGAATCTGCGTCCCAATCTGCTAGTGCTGAAAGAGTTAACTGCAAGTGCAGACAGTAGAAATATGCCCCCGACTTGGAGCCAGTACGTGGCGTCACTGACAACAGCTGAACCAACCAAAGTTGATATTTGTCGTGTGAGAGTTTCTGGCCACAAATTGCCGCCACTGTTACAACTGCTTTCTTCCATCGTGCTGACGTAGCCGTGTCAAAATGTTTGCCAAATAATACATCAAGTACTTTGAGGTCAACTGAACGTTCGTTACTCAAAGGCAGTTCACAAGGAAAAGAACGGACAAACATAAAGAAAGGAGGGGGGGGGGGGGTTTGATTACGCAAAATAATTTTTCACGCAACAGGTTTATTGGGTACAGAGTGTTAAATGTATCATCATCATCAGGTGCCTTGCCGACTGGCGTGGGTGATCATGCCTTTCCATAATCTGCGATCTCCTGCAGCATGTATCATTTCGTGTGTCGACACACCTCCATGCCATGCAACAAGACTGTCAAGCATCTTCTCTCGTTGTCTTCCTCTATCTCTCCTTCCACATATCTTTCCAGTGATCACAACATGTTCTATTTTCCCTCTTCTCATAACATGGCCGGAAAATGATGACTGTCTCCTTCTAATGTCTGAGATAAGTTGTCTTCGGGCTCCCGCCTCTTTCAAAACCTCTTGGTTGCTCTTTTTGGCTGTCCAAGGTAATCTAAGCATTCTTCTGTAAAACCATATCTCCGAGGCCTTCAGAAATTGTTTGGCCTGCCTACAGATTGTCCAGGATTCACAGCCATATGTTAAAACTGGATGTATGTAGCAAATATGTTTTTCAGCGGCACGGGCAAGTTGGTCTATGACTTGTCGTCGTGTCGTTAAATCAATTCATTTTAAATTTGTATTCACATCATCATCACCACCATTATCATCAGCACCAGCATCATCGTCATCATGATCATCCTGTTGTGATGGTAATACGTCAGACTGTAGCTTCATTTTATCCGTCTCACCCTTGCAAATCTTGTCGACACCGTCCACTGACTCCAGTCAGGCACTCCCGATGTCTGTTTTTGTGTCTGATTTCAGTGTCTGTTTCATGTCTGATTTCAGTGTCTGTTTCATGTCTGATTTCAGTGTCTGTTTCATGTCTGATTTCAGTGTCTGTTTCATGTCTGATTTCAGTGTCTGTTTCATGTCTGACTTCAGTGTCTGTTTCATGTCTGATTTCAGTGTCTGTTTTTGTGTCTGATTTCAGTGTCTGTTTCATGTCTGACTTCAGTGTCTGTTTCATGTCTGATTTCATTGTTTGTTTCGTGCATGATTACAGTGTTTCTTTCATGTCTGATTTCAATGTTTGTTTGATGTCTGATTTCAGTGTTTGTATTGTGTGTGATTTCAGTGTCTGTTTTGTGTTTCAATTTCAGAATGCACCCTATACACCGTCTATTGCAATTTCATTTCTCTTACAACTTGTGATACCAGCAGGCTTGCAGACATCGCTCTGATTCCTCCGCCTGCCTTGAATTCATCACATTTAATTGTCATCAGTATTGCAAACATTCGTGTTTGTATACATTACGTAGATATTAATATTATGACACAAACATATCTTTGCAAACGACAGGGCGCAGAAGAGGGGGGGGGGGCAACAACAACTGGTCATTATACAGGTCTTGATATTAAACTGTGCATAAACACTTTAGTGGTAATGGTACTGTGGTGGTGATACTGGAAGTAGTAGTAGTAGTGGTGGTGGTAGTTGTTGCGGTGGTGATGGTAGTGGGGCTAATAGTGGTGCTGGTAGTGTTGCGTGGGAGTGTTTGGTGAGAGTGATGGCAATAGTAGTATCAGCAGCACCAGCGGTAGTACTAGCAACAGCGGAAGTAGTAGCAGCAACAGTTTGATATAAAAGTGTGACGAGCTGGTCTGGTCAGCTGTTTCTTCCCTTTTAAGAATTGATTTGTATTAGCAATATTTTTAAATTTTCTTACCTTTTACTTATTGCTTTATTATAGCAATATTATTAATTCATTAATTAAGAGTTGAAAGGTATAAAAGACGAAGGTACAGTAGGAGAATTAACTCAAGAGTTACTTCCCCTTTTTAGGACTTCCTACTTTCATTTTCAAACCGAACACTTGGTAAGCTAGACGGTTCTCTGTTTGCTTATGACTCAGTAAAACCTACTGCAGGCACCATTTTGTGTTTGAATTCTCTACCAGGGGTGAGTAAATAGTATTAGTTTAATTTGATCTATTGCTGCTATTCCTTTGAATTAATTTCACATGTTAAACTCTATGAAATTTGATGCCCACATGGTTACAATCCTTAAAGAATTTCTTCATCCTAACTAACCATGTTTATGATGTAGCATGTACATGTATGCAAACATATTATCTATTTGATGAATGAAATAATGTTTATTTGATACTAAAAACGTGCATTGGTATTTTTAATTATTATAATTTATATTAATTAAGTGGGAATTTATGTCCTCATGTGAAATCTCGGCCAGTTCCGATTTCCAGCATGGTGAGACAGTTTATTAAGGAATGAAGTGTATATTCATTATATCTAATCCTTACTAGGTTGATTTGACCTCATGGTGATTAGCTTGATAAATCACTGTCTTGCAGTAATTTAGATTTAGTCTAGATAATTCTGAGACTGGTTTAGGAGCTTGAAAAGTGAATAACACAGGGTGGCTAAATTTAATATTCACACTGTCGGAGAAGAAGAAGAGAGATGTATGGCCAATGCTTGTAATTATTATTGTTGTATATATATTTCCCCATTGCTAGGAATATATTTCAGTACCACAGCAGGTGGCCTTACATATTATTTCGTAATATAAATATAATAATATAATATTATATATATAATATAAAAATTTCACCCTTTTCAACTTTTTAACTCTACTGAATAACATTTTGCACATGTGTGTATTTAGATTTAAGCTGGAGTGAGTGTTGTATATTTGATGTTAATACTGTGACAGATAGAAAGCCCAGTGTCATCCGTGATTGTATTATGACATCTATCCCAGCACCCAGTTATATTGATGGAGATGTGTCAATCCCATTTATTTTTAAACTGCATAATGCACCTGTTATGAGTTTCTGGCCCATGTAAACTCACTCCCTAATTCTCATTCTTTGTGATGTGAGCCTATGTGGTTGAAATGAGAGCCTATTGTGATAGGTGACTGTGTGTGTAAGCATGTTATACCCTCAAAGGAGTACTAGTGTAAAGACATCAGAATAATTCGCACTGATGAATTCCTTTCTTAATGTGTGACTCTTGTACTTGAAAGTATTCATGCAACTGATGTTCTGTATACATTCCTATTTTATAGCAGAAGAATGTGAACACTTGTAATTACCCTACTCCATATGTGTGTGTAGTGTAACATTATATGAGGACTGGAGGCACTGTTGTCTCAAATGAGAACTTTCCAAACTGTTTATACAGGGACAGTTCTATTGTTCTAGTTCCAGGTGGTAGTTCCAGGTGGGTGTTCCAGAAGTTAATCCCAGCGTAGCTGCATGTGCCCGATTGTCTGGACTGAACTGGAAGATTCGGCCTGCCTGATGTGTCTCCGAGGCTTAGCTAGAAGCTGACCAAAGGAACCCGAGCTACAGCTAAGTGGAGAGATTGATCTACTTTCCTTATATAAAAGCAGAAACTAATTTGATCTCCACAGCCAGTCTGATTATTAGTTGGCTTTTCCAATTCCAAATAAATGTTATAGTTTTAATGTTTTTACAGTTTTATGGAGTTTTATTTTAACTAGCCATTTGTGTCAGTGAACTTTAGTACATTTAAATATACAATTTAATAACAGTAGGAAATCAGATGTGGGCAAACCCCGAATCCTCTCCTTTAACCAGCAAGGCTGGGAAAAATATATTTTTTTAAGATGTTCAATGTTTGTAATTCCCTCTGTAGATTGCACATAGTGCATTCGCTGGAATAAAGCGAATTTACCCGTCACAAGAAGAAGCAAAAGAAGCACAGAAGGCAAACATAACAATTATAAAGATGAAACTGACCACTTTTGCCAACGCCAGCCATCCCTAAGACCGCAATCTTGGTTTCTCCCAGTGAGGACTTTTTTCTCCTCAAGTAGGGCTTCAGAGTGGATCCGCTCCCGGCACCTTGACCGTCGCCTGGAGACCCGGGGCTACTCATGGTTGTGGTCGCCCAGCCAGGCGCTTGCCTAGACTACCTCTCCTGTTTTATTTCTCAGACTCGTGAGAAAACAACGGTGAAAAAGTGGCTTCATTTGTCTGACCCCGTTGAAGATTTAAAAATCTGCAAGAAAAAAAAATTTCCATTCAATATTTGCATTTGCGGAAATTTAGAAACCAGAAAAGAAATTAAATACAGAATTTGGAATTTTAAACCCACACCCACATGTTCAATCAGAATTGTTGTGTAAAAGAAACGACTTTGCAGCATTGACATCTGAAACAGTTATCTACCCATGACTTTGCAGCATTGACATCTGAAACAGTTATCTACCCATGACTTTGCAGCATTGACATCTGAAACAGTTATCTACCCACGACTTTGCAGCATTGACATCTGAAACAGTTATCTACCCACGACTTTGCAGCATTGACATCTGAAACAGTTATCTACCGTTACGTGTCGCGGGTTTTGAAGCCGGAGAAGTAAAAGCCCATTTTATGCCACTAGAGCATGTTGCACATGGCAAGTAAAGGGCCCCTTTAAACGCCTTCAGACCTGTGTTGCCACTTTGGATGTTTTACATCCAGATTAAGATGTTTCCTTGCATTTAGATGGCGTTTTTGACGTTTAGATGGTAGAGGTTTTTCTAGATGTTTTTTTTATTTAGAGTGAATTTATCAAATATAACATAAGAAACAGGATGAAATTTGACCTCTTAAATGCTATTATCTTGACAATCAAATTCGGCCTGATAAGAGTAGGAAAAGACAGTTCCACTTATCAGCTCCCTGATTGGATATTAAAAGAAATTGGAACAGCTAAAGTATACCAGAGTCAAATAGGATCTGAAGCTTCAACTTCATCATCCAAGCTAAGTTTATCCTGTAGATCTTGTAAGGCAGACTTCAGTAAAGGTGAGGACATGATTCTATAGGGTAAGTCGTATCAATTGATGTGTAATTTGTGACTCTTTCCATTTTGATGTTTATTAGGCTGATTTCCACTCAAATTTAGATGTTTTAAGATATTTTTTGACTCCGTTTTGGATGTTTTTTGTCAAAGAAAAGTAGCAACACTGCTTCAGACATATTGGACGTATAGGAATAGACCTATATTTATAGGCCAGTGGGCACTCTGTGGGTCACGTGGTCAACATCACATCGGCCACCTTTACTCTCCAGGACTTCATCTGGTACCCACTCAAGGCTGGGTCGACCTGCAAGCCAAGGCCATTTGTAAGAAAAAAAAAGTCCTTTTCCTATCACAGCGGTTCTTAACCTGTGGGCGACGACCCTTTTAGGGGTCAAACGACCCTTTCACAGGGGTCGCCGAAGTCTTGTCTTGTCTTGTCCTGTCCACAATTGCCTCACAGCGTAGAGGGGAGTCGCAGTTTTCTATCCTGGGCCAGGTGTGTTGCACGTGTTGTTGTTAGTCCGTGTTGCCTCAGGATCTCTGATATATTGTCTATCCATCGTACTCTCGGTCTGCCTCTTGCTCTAGGGCAGCAGTGCTGTTCGTTGTATGCTCGTAGAGGCAGTTGGTCGGTTTGCATTCGCATCAAGTGGCCAAACCACTCTATTTGTTACTTCTTTATGTATTGCAGGCATGGTGTGGTTCCTACAATTGCTCTAA